AAGGCGGGGATGGACTTAACCTTACCCTCGCCCCCCCTCCACGTTACCTATTATATATATATATATCCCCCTTTTTATGTGAGGGATCTACCTCCCCATTACCGGGGATATACCTCCCTCCAAGAGCATTCCTCCCATTACCGGGATATCCCGCTCTCCACCAAAGGATTTCGGCTGACCTGCGGGGCAAACCCCCACAGTAGCCTTTACCTCTGTCCCACATCGGGGAAAGAGTCGTCTCCCCACCCCCATATAAGCCGAAGCACCATATGAGAGCAGTACCCAAGTACCACAGTGTGCAGGTCAGCCGAAATCCTTTGGTGGAGAGCGGGATATCCCGGTAATGGGAGGAATGCTCTTGGAGGGAGGTATATCCCCGGTAATGGGAGGTAGATCCCTCACAGTGTATGTACTGGAGTTAACTAAAAATGTTGTTATGTGGCATTTGAAATATCATTTTTTTTATATAATCCTGTTTTCCTACCTATTTTTGTGAGTAACATGAGTGATTCAATACTTATGCATCAAAGGTAGTGATATTACTAGTTGCAATATAGGGGCAACAGTGGTTTTGGAGCCTTGGGAGAATTGAGAGAGCTCTAAATCAAAAACTACGAGTTTGAACCACATTTCATATATGAATCTGCTTGGCTCCTAGAAGGCAGTCTTTGTGATCGAATTATTGGCTCCTAGGAGGTTGCCTTTGTGACAGGATAATAGATAGGAGCTCTATTTCACAAGCACTTTGTTGCCCAAAAGCCTTAGGTTTTTGTGAGCAGTTGAAGTAGACCTCTAGTTTTTTGGACATTTGTTGTTTGTGTGTGTTAGAAATACTATATTATATTGTGTTAGATTATGTTAAATTATTTAAAATGTTGTTGGATTATTTAAAATATTATATTTATTTAGAATTTTAGATTATGTTGACTTGAACTTGAGTTTAGGCTTAAATTTGGGCTTAGGCGGATACGGGAAAAGCGGGGACAGGGACGGAGATTAGAAATTTACCAGTAAATAAAAATAGAGATAAAAATTATACCCGTTAACAAAGGTGAACCAAGGATAAACAAATATTTTTTAAACAGGTACAAAGACAAAGATTATATCCCGGCCCCGCCCCCGTTTCGGTCCAACGACTGTTAGGAATTTAGTTTTATAAATTAAAATTATTTTTTTAATTGTCCTAGTATTTAGAAGTCTGTTGCTGGGAGTATCAGTAATCTAATCTATTCCCTTCGTTCTCTGTTATTGTTATTCTGCTACTGTTGTGAGATAGTTCTTAAATTAGTGATAAGTTAATTGATGTAACCTTCTATTTAAGGAGTTTGATCTGCTGAATAAATTACTCCTTCAATATTCCAGCGTATCCTCTGATAAATTATAACAGTGACATCCTACTCCAAGCTCATCGGAAGCAAATCCTGCGTCGAATTCTTTGCCATCAACCCGAGCTAACCACTCTCTCTCTCTCGAATTTCGTTCGCACGCTTCTTCTCCTTGTTCACATAGAATTTACAATCTCATCATCCATGAACACCGAATCAGACAAAGCTCGAGTCTTGAAGGAGTTCGGGGAGGATTATGGTTATCCAAAGGCTTCTAAGAACATCGATGAAATAAGAGCCACCGAATTTAAAAGATTGGATGGTCAGACTCTCTTTCTCTCTCTCTCTCTCTCCTGTAATTCGTTATTTCCCACCTAACCATTTATCTTCCTCTTGGTTGCCAAGCAAACTGAAAATAATTAAATAAAACAAAAAGTAATTGGAAACGAGAAATTCAAGATTTCCTTTACTTTCTTCGGCTTTTAATTAGTGGGATAGTGTGATTCCAAAAAAAAAACTGGCATTGGGTTGTCATTTCTTCTGTGAATTTGTAGGTACGGTGTAGTTGGATCATGCTGGAGCATCTTTGTACTCTAAGTTGCAGATGGAAGCGATTCTTAAAGATTTTACAACTAATGTTTACGGAAATCCCCGTATCCTTTACACCTCAATTCTTGCCTGAAATACTAGGTATCTTATCCAAAAGAACACTCTGTCCCAATTGAATATGATTCTGGGGTTCCTTAATCTTGTAAATCTCTCGATACCCAAAGTGATTACAGCTTGGCCACAAGCAATATTGTAGGGGAAGCTCGCCAACACGTAACATGTCGTATGCAAAAATTTAAACCTATTGATTGGATTGGAGAACCTTTTTCCTCCTCATGTTTATGAAATCTAGATGTCTGCATTTAAATACATTGCTATTAACATTGTAAACTGTTTGGCTTCTGGTTGTAGAGTAGTTTGTGTGCAGGTATAAAAAGAAAGTTTGTTAACCATGCCTTGTGCCCATGAGGTGTTTGTGTGGAATCTACTTTTTTGCTCATATTCTATGTGTTATTCCTTTTATAATCAATTGATCTTTCTCCTGTTTGCCATTCTTCTTTGACGTGAATGTAAAACAGGTCCTTCATTTTTGTAATGCATCTCCGTGGGAGTACAAATGCATTTTTACTTCTAGGGCAACAGCGGCATTAAAACTTGTTGGAGAGACCTTTCCTTAGAGCAGTTTTATGTATACAATGGAGAATCACAACAGTGTCCTTGGTATCAGAGAGTATCCTACCACTGTTGAGCTTATCTTCTTGTCTCTAAGTAACTTTGTGAAGGCATGATATAGAATGCTGGTTTCTTGTACTTTCCATTTGTTTTGGCTGGTGAAAAGATTTAGTTTGCTAACGTGTCAATTACTCTGACCTTGTTTCTGCCTCTCCATTGGTGCCATCATTTTGTTGTGGACCTCACTAGTCTTTATATAATATTAGCCAATAACCAACGACTGGAAGTTTTTATTAGTTAGTTTATCTTTTATAACAAGTAAAACCTGTTATCTTGGTTACTTAATATTTGAAATAACACATTTCCTCTATAGAAATCTATTTAGTCCTTGCTGCATACCATTGTGATTGTATAGTTGTTGTAAAGATGGAAATAGTCATGTTATTTCATTAACTTATTTACCAGTGAAACTTTGTTGCTGTCTTTGTTGTTGGCTTGGCAATGACTCCATTACTCCCATGTATAGATAGCTCAACTCCTCTCTCATTATTATCATCTCCCTTGGACTGATCATTTTCGTGGATGGATTCACCCTTAACTTTTCTAGATATGCACTCAGTCAAGGGGCTGTAGCCTTTGCAGTGGATATTGAAGATGCTGCACATGATAGTGGATCAACAAACCCTGCATCTTCGCTTAAGGTTTTATAGCACCAAATGCAAAGGAGAAGTGAAGCTAGAGTAGTGGAAGAAGAGCTTATTGGTAACTCGTGAATTAACTGACACATAATGTCACGCTTGAAAATCTAACAACAATGGTTCTATTGGCAACACTTCTTCTTTGTCTTCTTCTTCTTGTTCACTCAACTTGTATGTCGCTCATTGCAAGGGATGCTTACAACTTATTTGCCTTTCCTTCGGAGTGCAATTTCTCAGGTGTGAGATTCAACCTCGATCGGGCGAAGGTTATTAAGCAAGATTCACAGAGAATTTTGGAAGGCTCTCCATATTGCAAGTACATATGTCGCTACCAGTTTTAATATATTTAATCTATATCACAGACAAATATACCAAAATATATCATGTCAAAACTTACAAAGGATTATATCCAATGTAAATAATTGTTACAAAGATGCCTTTTTATTCGAGCACTTTTTATGCTATGTTTTATTGCTCCTTCAAAAACGAGATCATTTTGAGTGGTTTACTTTGAAATTTGTAACTTGTAAAAGTCCATAGGAAGTCCTGAAGGCGAAGGATTGCACCATTAAGTGATTTTATTTAAGATGAAGGTACGAAAGGTCTGGTACAGGATGGAGTTGTGGATGACATCGAGAAATGTGATGTTTAAGAAGATACGATTGCAGATGGGAGCAAAATTTGCAAACCTGATACGTCTACCCAAACAAAAGGGCTGGGACAAGGCTTTTGTAGAGTTGAAAAGACCAAAGTGCCATGAGATGTTGAAGCCCTACATAAATTCTTAGGTTGAATATAGCACAGTAATGGCACAACTTTAGTCTTTCATGTAAGAATGGACGTCATTGTAGTCAATTTAAGACTTTATTCTTCACTCCTTTACTCAGAAAGATTTATAGAAATGTGACAACAAAATATCCTGAGACTACCTCGCTAGCTAAGCCTTTGTTTGAGTTTCCTACAGACCATGGATCAAATTGTTGGACCTTGAAGAACCATCTTTGCCTACTTCCAATATGCTGAATGGTTTATTTAGATGATGTTGGGAGACTCGGGACTTGACACTTTGTATTGAGATCAGAGATATATTTTTGTTATCTTTGAGTAATGTTTTCTTTTTGGTGACGAATTTTGGTATAAGTTGTTGATTTTAGTGTATTCTTTTTTTTGGGGGGTACTCAAATATTAGCCCCTTTTTGTTATTGGTCCATGACATTAGTTGGGTAGCTACAACCGACAAGTCAATTAGGGGGACATACTTCTCAAGCGATAGTTCCGTGATCCCAACCAGTAACTTGTTTAGTTGTTGGGGATAGAGGCATCAGAGCTTGTCCAACCTAGTGAAAAGGCTTGGAGATAAGATGGTTTTTTGATTCAGGTCCTGGTTGAATTTTTTAGATCAAATATGAATAGTTGGATAGATAGAGTTGGTGAAATCTAACCTTCCCATCGATGCTTTAGCAGGGCAGGTTGCTTGAGTGTCAAAACCAAGCCGTGATTGTTTTTGTTGGCATATGGGTATGAACAATAGATATGGAGACAGAGAGAAGATGACTGTGTTCTACCACGAGTATACATAAATTTGGTCATGCATATTGATATCATCTCTCTCTCTCTGCCTCTTCAGTGAATATGTCCTCTTTTGTTTTAATTTTTCTACTCTAGTAGTTTGTCCTCACTTTATCTATAACCTTAAGTAGTCAAAACATTACATTTATTATGAGAATGTTGCCCAGTTTTTGTATTACAATGGATAGAATAAGAGCTTCACAAAGGGAATTGCTTTACCATCAAATTCATGTACATTTTCATTCTGAATTGAGAATTAGAGTTGGTATATGCCAAAAAAGGTGACGCTACTCTTGAAGCAAAGATAAAAGAAGACATCAGGCAGCTTTCTAGACAGAAGTTGCCTAAAACCCTCCCAATTTTGGACCTTTTTTGAGTTGAATATTAAACTTCTCTTTTAAATTTCCAATTTATTATAATCATTGAGGTGTCTATGCTTGACACTTATTTATTGAGTGGCAATTCAACTGGTTATTTTCCATTTATTCTTCAAAGTCTTTATCTAACTTAAAGTGTGAAAACAGGGGGTGCTGGATGGTTCTGATTGATGTTGCAAAAGGATGTGCAACAGAACCACCATATTTATCAAAGTACAAAGCAGATTTTGTTGTCATCTCTTTTTACAAGGTATCTGTGTACACCTGCTGAAGTTGTCCAAACTTGGATATGAGTGATCACTACCTCCAAATAATGTTGTTGAATCCTTTGTTTTTGTGTAGCTATTTGGCTATCCAACCGGACATAGAGCCCTCCTTGTTTGAAATGGTAAGCAGCTAATGAAGGTTTGTACTTACAGAAATATGTTCTTGGTGTCTCACGCTAAGTAATTGATTTCCTTTCTTACTAACCACAGAAGCTGCCAAGTTACTAAAGAAAACTTTAGTGGAGGTTTGTGCTCAAGCCTATTCTTTTCTATGAAACATATCTTTGAGTGCAATATTACATCGTTTAAATGTTTCCAGGTACCGTGGCTGCATCCATTGCTGATATTGACTTTGTAAAACAAAGAGAAGGTGCTGAGGAACTTTTTGAGGATGGCACCCTATCATTCTTGAGCATAGCATCTATTCACCATGGGTTTAAAATCCTCAATACTTTAACCATTTTTGCTATATCCCGGTACGTCAAAAAATAGTCTATCTAAGTGGAAAATGTTCCCTGCTTGTAAAGGAATAGAAGATCCCTTTGTTTGCTTTTTCTACAAACTTGTAGTTCTGTCAAATGTTTGCAAGCACACAACTTCACCAAGACTGGAATATGCATTTGATACAGCCGGATAGGTATCATATATTATTACTCTAACTAGGAGTAACCCGTACCTGAAGGCATGGTACAATGTAAACCAACCGACTAATTTGAAAAAAAAAATTATTTTAATTTATTTTAATTAAAGAAATTAAAATCAATATAGTCCCTAAATATTTTTTGTGGACTATTTCGGAAGAAGCTGCTCTAAAGATAGGAGCCCAGGAAAATCACAACTTGTCTACAAAACTCAAAATGTTTTGAATGCACAATATAATCAAACCTAAAATTCACAATTCACCATCTACATAACAATAATCATAGTTCACAATCAAAATTCTCTCAAAAATCACCATTCCGAATCCAATTACCAAATAACCATCAATTCCAATCAAAATAAATTAATCACCACGTGTGATTGGTTCACTTTATTAAACTCGGGACAAATACAACAAACATGCAAAGAGAAAACTAAGACAAGCAACCAATGCCTGTAAGTATTTTGTAACCCACGCAAGTCTGGTTAATTTGATGTAAGCTATTTTTCATTTTATATAATAAAAGAAAGTTAAATCAATTTAGTAAAAAAAAAATTTTGGTCACATAAATCAATCAATCTAGTAATAAATTGATATTTTTTCAAAATTTTGACATGATTTCCTTTGAAAATTGGAGACCATGGAAATATCAATCTGTATATAGAATCAAGAAACAAATAAAACAATCTCCCAAATCAGTGATCCATTTCCAACAGCAAAAAAAAAAACAGCAATTTCACATCAAGCCAAAGATATCCCCATAAACATGAAATTAGTTCACCATACTAAACACTGAATAAACAAAAACTCACGCAAATCCGGCTAAGATGATATAAGTTATTCTTTATATCATTTAATTAAATAAAGTTAAATCAATCTAATAATAACTCGTTATTTTTATAAAATTTTGCTAGAGTTTCCTTTGAAAATAGGAGGCAATGAAAATATCAACCTGTATACATAATTAAAAAAAAAAACTAGTGCCTTGTGCCATTTAAAGAAATAAAAAATTGATTATGCACACAAAAAATTAGGCACTGAACATGGACACTCATTAAGCTGACAACCTAAACTGAATTCTTAATACATCACTTCGCATGCATGCTCAACAAAATATTACCTATAAGAAGATTCTTGTGAAAATAAATTTCAATGAAGAGACGAATAAAAGCCAGCTTTAATAGTCAAGATCCCATAATTTTAAATTGAAAACAAATAAAATTCAAATGGTTGAAACTATAAACCTAATTAGAACTAACAATATTGTCTATATATATTTAATCAAAAGTTAACTCACAGGACTTGTCAAACCTGTCATTAGAAAAAATGTAGGCATTATGTTATGCTACACCAAAAATTGTCAAATTTTCTTTATTATTTTAAAATATTTGGACATAATTTTTCTTAAAAACATGACCCCAAAAAAATATACAATCTATAAAATGCTAAATACACAGTCCATCCACCCTCTATAAAATGCTAATTAAACAAATAAACTATGAATCCCGCATGACATTCCTCAAGTTTAATTAAGTCAATCCAATTAATTTTTCTTGTTTGTTCTAAATTAAGGCCTACAAATCAATCTGTGTTACCTATGTTTCTAGTTTTCTCATCTTTTGTCTACTATAATTTGTACAAAAATGACACAACAACACAACACAACGCTAACACAACATGGTATGTGTTAACTGTATGTTGAAAACAATTACCCTTAGCGCCCACGGTGGCCCCTTTGCCCCTAACTGCTAATCGGTGTTGAGCAACTTTATGGTACAACTATCGATTAAATTTAGGATAATTCTTTATGCATCAAAACTTGTACCAAATTAATTACAATTATTGGATCAGTAATGAAAACTATTGATCTAACAGCTCCAAGTGGTTTGGTGCAAGTTTTGGGGTGTACATTTTTTGTGCACGTAGCATTGCTTTTAAATTTAATGCAAAAAAAAAAAGAGTTATGCTAGAAATAGCATAGCAAGCGAGTGAAAAGGGTTTTTTTTTTGTAACGGTTTTTGAGTCAGTTTACGTAGACATCGATTAATCTCCTTCTCAATTTGGTCAAAGACAGACTATCAATATTGAGATTAGAGAATTCATGAAAAATAAATCCCTCGTAAGCTGACTTTAAAAAATTACTAAAATTCAAATTTAAGACATATAAGTTTACAGTTCGTTCACATGATAAGAGACTTTTGACTTTGTGCTTTGAAGTAAAAATTCATGCCACCAAAGGATAACACAGCATGAAAGGTACCTGTACCTCGATCAGCATGCAAATGAACTTATTGTTTTTTTAGGTATATATCTCCCCAGTCATGCTTTGAGAAGAACACACACAATTTTTTTTTTAAAAAAGTGAGAGACAATGTACATTGTTTTTTTTAAAAAAAAAGACTATTTTATGATCTTATTGAATGAGAAACGTTATATTGAGAATGATACTATGTCTGGTAGGTTATACTTATCCTACCCAACAACTTAGAAGGCCAGGGTCTCGCCTTCTGAGTATAAGCCATTGAGAGGTCGACCAACTGTTAGTGGATTTGTCATATTAGAATTAATCATGTGTCAAATATACTTTTACCCCTCAACTATACCCATTATCTCACATTACTCTCCTAATTATTGCATTTCTCACGTTACGCTACTATTGGTCTCATATTCCCCTCTACGATCATATTTCTGCCATTGCCACCCCAATTATGATTTCTTATCTTCACAGTGTTTCAATTATAGACATCAAAAACATGTATTCTACTACTCATCGGGACATATTGATCCATCCAAAACATTACTCACATTTGACTTTTGGAAGATTATAAAACCATTACAAGTAGTTGAGGGTGTGTCATCAAAAAAAAAAAAAAAAAAGTAGTTGAGGGTGTAATGTTAAAAATTCAATAGTTTACGGGAGTTGTAGTTGAAGGGTTGCCAAGGGTAATTTTTCCTTAAAACTAACCTATAAATAAATAAACGTATAATTTATTGGCATATTCATCCCATACAATTCGCACTCACCTGAAAATGGCTCTCAGTTTCAATGATGGAGACTCACTGTTCAACTTTGTTGTACAAGACGGTAATGGTGTCAAAGGCCTGGTGGACTCGGGCCTAGCCAAGGTCCCTGATCGATACATTCAAACACCACAAGAGCGAATTGAAAAGCAGGCTCAAATGAACAGCCACCCATTGACTTATCATTGCTGGATGGGCCTAATCATGACCAAGTCGTGGTGGCCATTGTTAAAGCAGCCGAGACTTTAGGGTTCTTCCAAGTGGTGAACCACGGCGTGCCTGTGGAACTGCTAGAGTCAGTTAAGAATGCAGCACACCGGTTCTTTGCCCAGCGGCCAGAGAAGAAGGCAATTTATCTCAGAGGATTGAGCCCGAGCCCATTTGTTAAGTATGGGACCAGTTTTGTGCCTGAGAAAGAGAAGGCCTTGGAATGGAAGGACTATCTGAGCATGATGTACACCAATGATGTGGACGCCCTTGAATATTGGCCTAATCAATGCAAGTAAGTACATTTATGTTAGTGAAATTGCATTTTGTACCCAGCTTCTTTTTTATAATTTGCCATTGCAATTAGTTCAGTGACTCATACTATCAACATGAACACAATATGATCATCGTGATTCATCTTGAAATTTACTTGTTTTATTTACAAGGACAAGGCGCTTGAGTATCTAAAGGCGTCAACGAAGATGGTGAGAAGATTATTGGAAATCTTAGTTGGGAGTGAAATTGGAAGACTCAAGAGTTGAGTCACTTATTGGTCAAAAGGTGGTTAACATGAATTTTTACCCACCATGCCCAAATCCTGAGCTAACTGTTGGCGTGTGGCGCCACTCAGATATGGGCACCCTAACCGTGTTGCTACAAGATGGGATTGGTGGTTTATATGTCAAAGTTGAAGAAAGCTCGACTGTAGGAGAAAATGAAGGATGGGTGGAGATCCCTCCCATCCCTGGAGCTTTGGTCATTAACGTTGGTGACACATTACAGGTTAGCTAGACATCATAACTGTTTTACCTTACCCTGGTCAATATTATACGATTTATTTAATTTATTGTGTCTAACCTTAACACTAACGTGACATAATATAATGTTATTTAAATGGGTTTATCATGCAATATACATATTTAACAATGACTTAACTTGTTTTGATTTGCATTAGCAAGTTGTATCGTTTTGAAATTTGTGTCGAGAATTATCGTGATATCTAAATGGGTTTATTATGTTGTACCAATGTTTTTTGTTTTGTTAGATTCTCAGCAATGGAAGGTACAGAAGTGCTGAACACAGAGTGCGTACCACAAGCATGCAATCAAGAGTGTCGATACCAATATTCACAATCCCACGACGGACGGAGAAGATTGGGCCACTACCTGAGGTGGTGGAGCTCGATGGGGTGGCTCATTATCGGGAGTTCATGTTTGAAGACTACATGAACAACTTCTTTGGACAAGCTCACGATGGAAAGAAGTCCCTTGATTTTGCTCATATCGGGAGTTCATATTCTTTTCTATGTTAGCAGTGTCCCTCAGCTTCAAAATAAAGTCTCTACTTTGCTAGAGTACTGTATGTTTGACCCTTTGTTGAACTTCTCTCTGTCAACAACTTTTCTTGATAAGTTTTTTGGGCAGTTAAGGATGGTCCAAAAATGCTTGTTATTAATGGGTAAACCAAAATAATAGCCTTTCAAACACGCTATTGTGGTTCCTATTTTTCCATTTGTGTCACTTTGATCTCTTATCGTGCATCAGCTATGTTTTGACTCATTGAAATTGTAAAAATAAATTAGAATTGGTTACAGTGTTAAACTCAATTAATAAGGGAATTGAATTTGAGTAATGTGTGGCTCACTTGGTTCGAACATATTTTTTTTATGAATAATTCTTATTTAATAATCAAAAAACCTCTATTTGAACATGAACAATGTCGAACTTATCTCTAAAATGTAGTAAACCATATGATTTCTCTACCTCTCTCTTCTAAAAAATTAACTCTTTGTTTGAAATTTTTTTATTGAAAAGTTTGGCTTAATTTTGGGTCAAATTTTTACAAGTTCATGTTGACCTAATTGTGAGAAAGAACTTCAGTTTGATAACAAAGTTGAAAGTGTCACAACTAAGTCAAGTTTAAACGTGTTAAAAATCGGCAAGCTCAACTCGATTAAAAATTAAATGTAAATTCTCTTAAGTTTTGATTAGAGGTCATATTATAGTTGAGTTATTCATGTATGATTTGGATCTAGATTATTTTTAAATATGTTGTTTTTATCAAATTCATTTAATTGGCTAAGGTGTAAAACGGTGAATTACCTAAGGAACTGAATTAAAAAACATCTCACTTTATCTAACGTGACTCGAAATCTGGTCTTAGACTGGTCAACTTCTCCTTTGGATTAGATAACTTGAGCCGAACGAATCATTGGCCCACAACATTATTCTATCTGACTAACTTAATTTCAGGGCTAGGCTGATCGGGCCATCCAGCCCATGGCCCAGTAATGTGTCTCTGAAGTCTAAACCCGGTAGTTGACTAATGAGCAAGCAGGACCTGCCTAGTGGGCCATTTTAACCGTCGAGGCGGCCTTGCTCATATGTCCTAGACTCCCATCAGCGTCAGTCATTGGTATCCACTGAATCACTCTCCCAGCTCATCGGAAGCAAATCCTGCGTCCAACTCTTTGCCATCAATCCGACCTAACCACTCTCTCTCTCTCTCTCTCTCTCTCGAATTTCGTTCGAGCGCTTCTTCTCCTTGTTCGCATAGAATTTACAATCCCATCATCCATGAATACCGAATCAGACAAAGATCGATTCTTGAAGGAGTTTGGGGACGATTATGGTTATCCAAAGGCTCCTAAGAACATCGATGAAATAAGAGCCACCGAATTTAAAAGATTGGATGGTCTGACTCTCTCAAGCTCCCTCTCTCTCTCTCTCTCTCTCTCTCTCTCTCTCCAATATTTCGTTATTTCCTACCTAACCGTTTATCTTCCTCTTGGTTGCCAAGCAAACTGAAAATATTTAAATAAAACAAAAAGTTATTGGAAACGAGAAATTCAAGATTTCCTTTACTTTCTTCGGCTTTCAATTAGTGGGATAGTGTGATTCAAAAAAAAAAAAAAATTGGAATTGGGTTGTCATTTCTTCTGTGAATTTGTAGGTACGGTGTACTTGGATCATGCTGGGGCATCTTTGTACTCTGAGTTGCAGATGGAAGCGATTCTTAAAGATCTTACAACTAATGTTTACGGAAATCCTCGTATCCTTTAACCTCAATTCTTGTCTGAAATACAAGGCATCTCTTCCAAAAGTACACTCTATCCCAACTGAATATGATTCTGGGGTTCCTTAATCTTGTAAAACTCTAGATAGCCAAACTGATTCCAGCTTGGCCACAAGCAATATTGTAGGGGAAGCTCGCCAACAGGTAACATGTCTCATGCCAAAATTTATACCTATTGATTGGATTGGATAACCTTATTCCCCTTCATGTTGATGAAATTTAAATTTCTACATTTAAATGCATTGCTGTTAACATTGTAAACTGTTTGGCCTCTGGTTGTATATTAGTTGGTGTGCAGGTATAAAAAGAAAGTTTGTTAACCATGCCTTGTGCCCATGAGGTGTTTGTGTGGAATCTACTTTTTTGCTCATACTCTATGGATTATTCCTTTTATAATCAGTTGATCTTTCCCCTGTTTTTCATTCTTCTACAACGTGAATGTGAGGCAGGTCCTTAATTTTTGTAATGCATCTCCGTGGGAGTACAAATGCATTTTTACTTCTGGGGCAACAGCGGCATTAAAACTTGTTGGAGAGACCTTTCCTTGGAGCAGTCAGAGCAGTTTTATGTATACAATGGAGAATCACAACAGTGTCCTTGGGATCAGAGAGTATCCTACCCCTGTTGAGCTTATCTTCTTGTCTCTAAGTATCTTTGTGAAGGCATGATATAGAATGCTGGTTTCTTGTACTTTCTAGTTGTTTTGACTGGTGAAAAGATTTAGTTTGCTAATGTGTCAATTACTCTGACCTTGTTTGTGCCTCTCCATTGGTGCCATCGTTTTGTTGTGGACCTCACCAGTCTTTATATAAGATTAGCCAATAATCAACAACTGGAAGTTTTTATTAGTTAGTTTAGCTTTTATAACAAGTAAAACCTGTTATCTTGGTTAGTTGAAGTTTGAAATAACACATTTTTTCTATGGCAATCTATTTAGTCCTTGCTACATACCATTGTGATTGTATAGTTGTTGTAAAGATGGAATTAGTCATTCTATTTCATTATTTACCAGTGAAACTTTGTTGCTGTCTTTGTTGTTGGCAATGACTCCATTGCTCCCATGTACAGATAGCCGTCTCTCTCTCTCTCTCTCTCGCACACACACACACACACACACATATCATTATTATCATCTCTCTTGGACTGATCATTTTTGTGGACAGATTCATCCTTAACATTTCTAGATATGCACTCAGTCAAGGGGCTGCAGCCATTGCAGTGGATATTGAAGAGGCTGCACATGATAGTGGATCAACAAACCCTGCATCTTCGCATAAGGTTTTACAGCACCAAATGCAAAGGAGAAGTGAAGCTAGAGTAGTGGACGAAGAGCTTATTGGTAACTGTTGAATTAATTGACACATAATGTCACGCAGGAAAATCTGACGACAATGGTTCTATTGGCAACACTTCTTCTTTGTCTTCTTCTTCTTGTTCACTCAACTTGTATGTTGCTCATTGCAGGGGATGCTTACAACTTATTTGCCTTTCCTTCAGAGTGCAATTTCTCAGGTGTGAGATTCAACCTCGATCTGGTGAAGGTTATTAAGCAAGATTCAGAGAGAATTTTGGAAGGCTCGTCATATTGCAAGTACATATGGCCACACCATTTTTTATATAGTTAATCTATATCAAAGACAAATATACTAAAATTTTCCATGTCAAAACTTACAGAGCATTGTATCCAATGTAAATAACTGTTACAAACATGCCTTTTATTCGAGCAATTCTTTATGCTTTGTTGTCTTGCTCCTTCAAAAACGAGATCATTTTGACTGGTTTACTTTGAAATTTGTAACGTCTAAAAGTCCATAGGAAGTCCTGAAGGCGAAGGATTGCACTATTCAGTGATTTTATTTAAGATGAAGGTACGAAAGGTCTGGTGCAGGGGAGAGTTGTGGATGACATCAAGTAGTGTGATGTTTAAGAAGATACGATTGCAGATGGAGCAATATTTGCAAAACTGATACGTCTACCCGTACAAAAATGGCTGGGACAAGGCTTTTGTAGAGTTGAAAAGACCAAAGTGCCATGAGATGTTGAAGTCCTACAGAAATTCTTAGGCTGAATATAGCACAGCAATGGCACAACTTTAGTCTTTCATGTAAGAATGGACGTCATTGTAGTCAATTTAAGACTTCATTCTTCACTCCTTTACTCAGAAAGATTTATAGAAATGTGACATTCGAATATCCTGAGGCTACCTCGCTAGTTAAGCTTTTGTTTGAGTTTCCTACAGACCATGGATCAAATTTTTGGACCTTGAAGAACCATCTTCACCTACTTCCAATATGCTGGATGGTTGGTTAATGGTTAATTAGATTATGTAGGGACATTAAACTTTGTATGGAGATCAGAGATATATTTTTGTCATCTTGGTGATGAATTTTGGGATAAGGAGTTCTGGTGTTGTTTATTTAAGTGGATTCTTTTTTTCAGGGTAGTCAAATATTATCCCCTTTTTTGTTATTGGTCCAAGACATTAGTTGGGTAGCTACAACCTACAAGCCAATCAGGGGGACCAACTTACTTACTTCTCGAGCGATAGTTCCACGATCCCAACCTAGTTGCTTAGTTGTTGGGGGTTGGGGCATCAAAGCTTGTCTGGCCTAGTGAAGGGGCTTGGAGATAAGATGGTTTTCCGATTCAGGTTCCTGGTTGAATTTTTTAGATCAAATAGGACTAATTGGGTAGATAGAGGTGGTGAAATCTAACCTTAGTAGGACAGGTTGCTTGAGTGTCAAAACCAAGCCGTGATTGTTTTTGTTGGTATATGGATATGAACAATAGATATGGAGACAGAGAGAAGAGGACTGTGTCCTACCACGAGTATGCATAAAATTGTGCATTCATATTGATATCATCTCTCTCTGTCTCTGCCTCTCTAGTGAATATGTCCTCTTTTGTTTTAATTTTTCTACTCTAGTAGTTTGTCCACACTTTATCTATAACCTTAAATAGTCAAAACATTACATTTATTATGAGAACATTGCCCAGTTTTTGTATTACAATGGATCGAATAAGAGCTTCACGAAGGGAATTGCTTTTCCATCAAATTCATGTACATTTTCATTCTTTATTGAGTAACTAGAGTTGGTACATGCTGAAAAAGGTGATGCTACTCTTAAAGCAAAGATCAAAGAAGACATCAGGAAGCTTTCTAGACAGAAGTTGCCTAAAACCCTCCCAATTTTGGACCTTTTTGAGTTGAATATTAAACTTCTCTTTTAAATTTTCTAATTTATTATGATCATTGAAGTGTCTATACTTGACACTTCTTTATTGAATGGAAATTCAACTGGTTATTTTCCATTTATTTCTTCAATCTCTTTATCTGACTTAAAGTGTGAAAACAGGGGGTGCTGGATGGTTCTGATTGATGCTGCAAAAGGATCTGCAACAGAACCACCAGATTTATCGAAGTACAAAGCAGATTTTGTTGTAATCTCTTTTTATAAGGTATCTATGTACACTGAAGTTGTCCAAACTTGGATATGAGTGATCACTAGCTCCACATAATGCTGTTGAATCCTTTGTTTTTGTGTAGCTATTTGGCTATCCAACCGGACTTGGAGCCCTCATTGTTCGAAATGGTAAGCAGCTAATGAAGGTTTTGTACTTTTGTACTTCCAGAAATATCGTCTTGGTGTTTCACGTTCACTAAGAGATTTCCTTTCTTACTGATCACAGAAGCTGCCAAGTTACTGAAGAAAACTTACTTTAGTGGAGGTTTGTGCAGACCTCTTCTTTTCTATGAAACATTTCTTTGAGAGCAATATTACATCGCTTAAATGTTTCCAGGCACTGTGGCTGCATCCATAGCTGATATTGACTTTGTAAAACAAAGAGAAGGTGCTGAGGAACTTTTTGAGGATGGCACCCTATCATTCTTGAGCATAGCATCTATTCACCATGGGTTTAAAATACTCAATACATTAACCATATCTGCAATATCCCGGTACGTCAAAAAAGTCTTATCTAAACGGAAATTGTTCGCTGCTTGTAAAGGAATCGAAGATCCCTTTGCTTGCTTTTTCTACAAACTTGTAGCTCAGTCAAATGTTTGCAAGCACATAACTTCACCAAAAATGGAATATGCATCAGATATAATATGCATTTGATACAACCTGATAGGTATCATATATTATTACTTAATTTTTGATATTGGATGCTATCAGGATACATCAAGGATATGCAGCTGATACATTAAGAAATAAGAATATAGGGGATGCGCCGAGGCTCAATTTTTTATTTTATTTTTATTTTTTAAACTGTGACAAGAAGAGTAAATAAAATTAGAAGTCGTTTAGTACAAAAATTATGATAATTCTTGTGTTGAAAATGACTGATCTGTTCAGTATGTTATTGAACAAACACCACTCACAATGCATCATTACACTCATACACTCATGTTTAAGATTGTACATTTCTAGAAACTGACAATTAGAGTCCGATTTGAATATCTTAGCTTGATTGCTATCTATTTAATGTCTTCGATGAGTTGTCAATTGAAAGGCCCAAGTAATGCAGCTCGTATCATTTTCAGCATTTAGGATTTATAGATTTGTTTAATATACCTTATGCCTCTTATTGTTGCATAAAATTGGTTTACTTGCATATATAGGAAATTGGTGTATCACACACACGTACACACACTTACTAATTCTTGGGGTTTATTTCTATAATGGCGGGCCTGGTGTCGTCTGTGACGACGATGTACAGGCTTTTTTGAATCACAGGCTATAGGTGGCAAGCCATGTTGCTTTTTTTTAAGTTTTTATTTCAGTGGCATTGGTGTTGGTAGTTAATGCATGTTATGTTTGTTAGAGTGTCCAATCCAAAACCAATTGGTTATGGGTGGAATGACCCCTCAAGTATATAAACTAACTTTTGTGATCCCAATTATTCGACGTGGAATACAAACTCTCTTAACAACCTCCCTTGTGTGGGACCCAGGCTCGCACATGTGGTCAATAAACAAACAAATAACTATGTATGCCAGAAAATTCAAATAAGTAAGAGACTTGGTCCATTGACCATCCAAGACCCAACTCTGATACTATGTTAGAGCATCCAACCCAAAACCACGGTTAAAATGGCCCCCCAAGTATATAAACCAACCTTTGCGGTCCTAATTATTTGATGTGGGATACAAACTCACTTAAAAATTTTATATAAGACAAAATTTGTGCCATTTTCACAGAATTGTTAGGGCAGGGGTGAGATACAATACCCTTTTCTCTTATATCTCTTTAGCTTTGCAAAATATTTTGTTCATTGTATATTTGTATTCTTTTCTTATATTTCTGGAAGAGTTACAAAAGAAAAGACATTTTCATTTCATTGGTCTTTCTCTTGCCTTACTGGTTTGTTGTGAATTTCTAAGCCTTGGTTAGGGTTCAAGTTTTCTTACATGGGAAAGAGATACACATTTTTCTTTCTCCCTTGATTTGCATACAAAAACATAATCCCCTTTAAAATTTTCTTTTCATGGTAATTGGATTGTGTTTTGCAGCCTAAGTGGAACGTGTTAATGTTCTAACATGGGCTATATATTTTTACCTTCTAGGCATACAGCATCACTTGCAACATATGTGAGGAGTATGCTTTCATCGTTAACTTATGAAAATGGGGACAGCATCTGCACACTTTATGGAGTACCGAAGTCAAAGGTTTGTATTGCCAGAAAATTACAAATGAGTGGACTTGTTCGTCTTTTTGGAGTTCCTGACTTCTGGCATAGAAAGTAATCAGCATGACTTGCTCAGCTTTATCTGGAATAATAAACTGGTGTCCTGGCACATGCATTTTATATGATATCGATTTGGATCTCCCCTTTCAGCTGTTATGTAAGGAAATGGGTCCAATAGTTTCATTCAACTTGACAAGACCAGATGGGTCTTGGTTTGGCTACCGTGAGGTGGAAAAGTTGGCTTCTTTATCTGGGATTCAGTTACGGGTAAGTACTTTTTGATAGGAAACAAAGACTTCCATTCTGTAGAGAGTTATGAATGTACAAAATGGTAGATAAGATACCCAACCTAAATGCAAAAGAAAGACTTCCAGTTCATAGAAAGTTAGGGGTATCATATGTAGAATGGATAATCTGCTTATGGTTTGTTTCGTTCTTCTTGATTGAATGGTATGTTATCATTCATTGGACAAATGATTGAACTGATGCTTATGCCAATGGACATTTAAGTTTGGTATTTATGATTATTCTTACATGTTTGTCTACACATCATGTGACCATTCTTGTTCCACCTGTACTTTTTCCTCTAAAGCTTAATCCTCTCGCATGACCACTATTCTGATGATCCTTTTTTAGTTGTTGATCCATTTACTCTGCCCCTTGATGGTTGCTATCTTTGGAAAAAAGGATCATGTATACTATTCCTACCAAATAAGCGTCTGCGTCCCTTATTTATCCTGTCCTGCCCACACCCAAAATCTTCCATCCTACATCTTCTATCAGATGCATTGCAACTGCAGATAAAATGGTTCCTCCTTTCTGTGAACTTGATCAATCCTGTGATTTTTTTCATAAATTGGCTTCTCACTAGTGTGCAAAACACCAAGTAGGAGACAAATTATATCCACCACTCTATTATTATGGTTGTTACACACATGCTAGATTGAAATTTTATCCTACTTTTGTTGCATGGATATTTTCAAGATTTGTATTCTCTTGTATGCCATTTTTCAGCAAACAGTGGTTGTTTGCTCAGTGTGGGAATGGCTTAGGCTGTTAGTTCATAGTTTTTAACACTAGAGGACCGAAAGGTTTCAGTCCCAATCATTATCAATGCTGACTGCGTTTTTGTCCTTTTTTGCTCATGTACTTGTGCAGACAGGATGCTTCTGCAATCCTGGTGCATGTGCAAAGTATCTTCGTTTGTCTCACGGGGATCTTCTTTCCAACATTGAGGTAGTTTACATTCTGTTTCTAATTTTTGGCCATCATTATTGGTTTGAAAATCTTTGTTTTTCTATATAGGCTGGGCATATTTGCTGGGATGATAATGATATATTACATGGAAAACCTACCGGAGCTGTTAGAGTATCCTTTGGTTATATGTCAACCTTTGAAGAAGCAAGGGTAAATGTCTAATTTCATATCAAATACGTTGAAGACAATTTTCAAATGACAAATTGCTGTGTATGAGCTCTGCTATCCCTTTCTAAGAATTTGAATGAAAAAATTCAATGATTTGAGACTCTAGTGAGGTACTCCCCATTTGAATTGTAGAAATATGAGCAAATATTTATTTGATATATGGAAAGACAAATTTTGATTGGGCCGTTCTCATTTATTATCTGTTTTATGTATCATAAAAATGGTTGGTCTGAATTTTCACATTTACTGACACATATAAAGTTCTTGTCAAACTTAGCTCTTCCTCCTTTTTATTGTCGTCTCTATTGCGATGCAGAATCTTTGTAGACTATTAATTGATCTAGTTGTAGGGATAGAAACAACTTTGAATGTTAAATGAGAAAGCAGAAGTAGCTGTTTTTCTTTTTTCGTTTCTTTTTTCCCTCTCAAATTGTAGCTGTTTGTTTGTTTATCAAGATAACATTTGTTATGAGTTTAAAAGTCTTTTTGTTTCTTGACTTTCTTTGTTTTCCATTTTGTTAAGCAGAAATTTCTGAATTTCATAGAGAGATCCTTTGTGTTATCACTTTCTCATTCTCCTTTGAGAACAAAGTACATACACCTTCCGACTGAAGGTTATTTATTTATCTTCTATAAAAGTAGCTTTATTTGGACATTACAACAAAATCTGTTATGTTCATCATTGTTTTTCCCATTTTGCTTAACGTATGCAAGATTACCGAATTGCAGGTTTTGAAAGGGCACCTTCAAGATACTATCTTAGGTCAATTACAGTCTATCCAATAAAGTCGTGTGCTGGATTCAAAGTGGACAGTTGGCCTTTAAGCAGTACTGGTAGCCATTTGTAAGCTGAATAGTAGACAAGCCTTATGCTTAGCCAAATTTCATGTTTATGTTATCTGGTTCCTCAATAATACTCCAGTTTTGATCTCCTCATCTCAAACATAGAAAGGAAAACTAAGATTCATGGAAGGAATCGAGGCATTTACTTTAGAATTGATTTTAAATTGCAGTAACAAAACAAATGTAATAACCTCAACAGAAATGTCTGAATTACATCCAATTACAGAATGAGATCCTTGTAAATCTTGCCTCTTCTATTATTGTGAATTAGGTCACTTAAACAATCATACTGTGCACTGGTACCAAAATCCATCTTGCTCTTGTTAGGACCACAATTTGATGTTTGGCATGTTTGCAAGAAAAGTGGTGTGTTGTGCTTATTTTGAAACTTTTCCAATTAATACCCAAGTCTATCTTGAGTTAATTTTAGGTTAATCTGTGGCTTGAAATGTTCAAATTTTTAATGGAAGTTGGTAAAACATAAGAAATTTCCTGATAAGGGGGGAGATTATCTGTCAAGGTTCAGAAAGGAATTCTCAGACCTCACGTGGCATAGAGCATGAGGATTTCAGGGATACCTAGGGACTCTGGCATGACAGACACTCAATGGGTCATAATTGAGATAGATGTAGTTGCATGTTTGATCGACTCCCTTTTTTCTTTCGAATAGAGAGTCATATCAAAATAAAATGAGGACGAATTATATAGATGCCAGAATATGTGATCATTGCCCTGACATCAGGAGGGCAAGCTCCCTTACCAACATAATTCTCTTGCAGAAGGACCAGCTATGCAGCCCTTAAAGTATAGGTCTTACATTGCAGCTGCTGGAATACCAAGTTCTATACCCAGCTTTGCATCCCCTTGTAATATGCATTGCTTCCTTTCTTATGTATTATTGTGAGTGAATGAGGAGCAACTCTTGACTACACACTCATGCAAACTTGCAACAAATTTTTTTGAGAGTCTGGAACAAGCTGCTTAGAAAGTTTTGTGGACTTTTTAAACTTTTGGGAAACACTGTGTAATAAGAAATGTAAATGTGGAGGGAATGCCTAAGCTATTGGTTTTATATGATTGATTGAGGGGTTTCTAGCATAGTATCATGCTATTACAACTAAGGATGGTATTTTAGTGTGCTACAATCTAGTCTTGTTATAATCTGGATACCTTCAACACCTTGATTAGCCAAGCTGTCTTCAATAATTAATTCTTGTTTATCATTTTTTTTTTTGGTCTCAGATAAATAACTACCAGTATATGATCTCTTTGCGAAGACATAAATATTTACATGTTGATTTATCATTCTCCTCTATGTCTTAAGCTTTTTATATTTAAAGTACATGAGGGATAAATACAATGAACACCTTGATTAGCTAAGCTGTCTTGAGTAACTAATGCTCATGTGTGATTTGTTTTTGTCTCTGATACATAACTACTAGTATTTGATTTCTTTGCTAAGAGAAAATATTTATTAGTTAATTTATCATTCTTCTAGTTTATCCTAAGCTTGTTTAATTTTAGCATACACTAAACACTGATTACAAATCTTGTTCATCTACTCTATCCTGTAATAGTTTAGTAGTTTCTTGTATGTAACTATGGAGTAGCATATACTGCAAGCTTCTGAAGAGGGACCATTTACCAGTGCAAATTGTGAAAGGTGGTTTGTCAAGCTTGATAACACATGTTCAACTTTGGAAGTTGACACATACATGCTAACTAAATGTTTAGTTGCAGCCAGCTTTCCTTCCTAGCACCCTTGATTTAAAGGACCAAAAAGAGTTAATGACTTTTGTAAACACAGATATCCTCAAATTTTTAACTTTTCTTCCCCGGGAAAAAACATTAAAGTAAGGATCAAAATTTTATTTCGGTGCATCATTTCGATCATCTAGGAAACGAAAACGTTTTTGGAACATAATGAAAATGAGTAAAAAGTTTGGAAATTTATTTTTCAAATATTTCTAAAGAAACATAAATGTTTCGGTTGTTTTGAAATGAATATTTGATCCTTGCATAAAATTATCAATGGGAAAGATCCATGGTCCTAGCTAACTCAAGCACATCATATTCTTACAAAACCAAAACATTGTATGTTCGTGAAATACAGAAGTTCACCTAATGTTTTTCTGTTTACTAAGGTTGCCCTTCTTCAATGTTGTGAGGCATTAAAATGTCATTTCTTAGTTGAAGTTTTTTTTCCTTTCTTTTGGCTATTAAATTTTGGCAGGGCTGCTATACGATCGAGAATGGCTTCTCAAAAGTATGAGTGGTGAAATCCTTACCCAAAAGAAGGTGATGTCACATAATATATACATCACTGATTATACTACTTGTTGCACACATATATTGTACGGGAACCATTTTAAGCTATAATTTCAGTATCTATTTTAATTTTCAATCCATGAGTATATATATTATTTGTACATCTTATCTAACTAATATAATTCACTAATTTATCTTGATTAACTAAATCTATAGCATTTGTTGATATTAATATATATATAATTGATGCGAGCTTTAATCCCAAAGCATGCTAAACTTTTCATGAATAGCTCTTTTACTTTGTAAGTTTATGTGTGATCTAAGGAGGAATGAGCTGAAACCCCTTAAAGAGTTGCGATGATCCGGTTCATATATATAATTGATGCGAGCTTTAATCCCAAAGCATGCTAAACTTTTCATGAATAGCTCTTTTACTTGTGTAAGTTTATGTGTAATCTAAGGAGGAATGAGCTGAAACCCCTTAAAGAG